AACTCAGTTTCTCTTCTCTGTTGATCCTGTTTAATTTTTCTTTCATCTGACTTTCACCATCCCTCCAGTAATCTCATACCTTGAATTCAAGTTCCCCTATAATATAACATAATATAATATAACATAATATAATATACTATAATTTATGTATTTATTTTGGAGCCATGTCTTACAGGGATAAGTGTTTGACGTGCCAGATATATACAGACTTCAATGCACTAGAGACTTCTGACAACTCAGAGCAGGGGCCAAGATTCAGATCATGAGGCATGTTAAACACAGAGGCAGATTTACTAAGCATCTACTCTGTTCCACACAATATGCCTAGATTGGTGGGAAGTGGAGATAAAACAAGACATTTACTGTGTGTCTATACATAAGGAATTTACTGCCTAGCATATAACTAATGTGATCATGTAATACAAAATCTAAAGAAAATGATACAAAGGAGTTCAGAGAAGGAGTATCTCTGCCCAATGAGTCTATCAGGGAAGACAATGTGTGTGGCCTTCATATTGAAAGAACAGCCTCCCAGCAGAGGAGACAACATGCACAAAGCAGCTGGGCGGTAAAGGCAGGTTAGGGAAGTGGTGAGTAATGCAGCCTGCATGAACCTACAGTACATGGAGGGAGGCTTGGGGGATAAGATCGAGGGAGCTGGGGGGGTACTTGCGGGGAGGGAAGGGATGAGGCCTTGAATTTTAGATTTTACATCTAATACCATTTTAATTATGTCATTTCCTTGCTCTAAACTTGCACTGGCTCCTCCTTGCCTGACAAATACAGGAAGAGCCAGTGGCTATGTGGGAAGTGGAAACTGATTATATAGGAGTAGGGTGAAAGAGAAAGATGAGCTCCAGCCACAGAATTTAAACACTCCAATAAAGTGGTCCAGATTCTGTTTCCTAATATGTTAAACAAAGCTCTCAGTCCAAGAAAAAGCTGCTCAATTGAATTTTCACTGAGGGCCCAGTTAAAATACTGAATTTCTGCCCACTCCTGACTGCCATCCATTTTTTAATCTTTGGATGACTCCATAGTTACAGATCCTGAGTTCTCACAGAAATAAGTACGAAACAGGTAACTTTTGACTATTATGGTCAAGTGTTGAACTGGAAATTCAGTGACAATATTCCAGTGAACCAATTGTGTCACCTGGGACTTAGGGCTACTTGCTTGACCTTTTTATTTATTTTTTTTAATATCTTTATTGGAGTATAATTGCTTTACAATGTTGTGTTAATTTCTGCTGTACAACAAAGTGAATCAGGTATACGTATACATATATCCCTATATCCCCTTCCTCTTGAGCCTCCCTCCCACCCTCCTTATCCCACCCCTCTAGATCATCACAAAGCCTCGAGCTGATCTCCCTGTGCTATGCGGCTGCTTCCCACTAGCCAACCATTTTACATTTGGTAGTGTATATAAGTCAATGCTACTCTCTCACTTCGTCCCAGCTTCCTCTTCCTCCCCTGTGTCCTCAAGTCTGTTCTCTACATCTGCGTCTTTATTCCTGCCCTGACGCTAGGTTCATCAGTACTGTTTTTTTAGATTCCGTATATGTACGTTAGCATCCGGTATTTGATTTTCTCTTTCTGACTTACTTCATTCTATATGACAGACTCTAGGTCCATCCACTTCATTACAAATAACTCAATTTCGTTTCTTTTTATGGCTAATATTCCATTGTATGTATGTGCCACATCTTCTTCATCCATTCATCTGTGCTTGACCTTCTTAAATATTTCACATTATGGAGGTAATTTCTCTCAGGGGAGTTGTGAAGAGAGGTAGTAAAACATTATGACATACCACCCATCTCTGACTAGATATTTAGCATCAGTGCTCAAAGAGTTCTAAGTGGTTGTTTGAAGCATTTATTTCTGAGATACAGATAGTGATGCTTATGACTGGTACAGTTCTTTTAGACTCATTTGAATGTCTGGCTATTCACAAGAACTAGGCATTTCTATGAGTTACAAATATGCCTAAAGAAGGTAATCGAAATTCATTTACTGTGTTTCTCAAATGGGAACAAAAAGAAATTCTATTCAAAAGGTCCTTCTCTGGGTCTTCCCTGGTGGAGCAGTGGTTGAGAATCCACCTGCTGATGCAGGGGACACGGGTTCGTACCCCAGTCTGGGAGGATCCCACATGCCACGCGCGGGGCGGCTGAGCCCGTGAGCCATGGCCGCTGAGCCTGCGTGTCCAGAGCCTGTGCTCCGCAACGGGAGAGGCCACAACAGTGAGAGGCCCGCGTACCGCAAAAAAAAAAAAAAAAAGGTCCTTCTCTTATTGTTCATCTCAAGAGGTTGATCTCCAGGGTATGTGTTATATTTATAACGTTGACATAAGAATCTCCAGAAATTTAACGTGGGTAGATAGATACACTCTACCTTTAATGTTAATATTAAAAGTTAGCTTTATAGAAGGTGTATGAACCTGAGAACTCACAAGAGGGAAGTTACAGGTATTGAAATGAATTTGCTAGTCAAGAAGGCAAATGCGGATATGATTAAAGAGTGCATTTCCTTCCCTCTCTCCCACCCCTGCTTGCAGAAGTTTCTGTGGCTCTCCCGCTGGTTCCTCTCCAAAAAGCCCTGATAAGGTCTGAGGACCCCAACAGCTGGAGTGCTGGTGGAGGGAAATCACCTACATGCTCTTCATTCCTCTGGTCTGTTGAGCATTGATGGGCAATGTTATCAAGACAAGCCCTGATGTGGTTTATTGGTTTGCTGTCTGACAAGCTAGTTTTGTCTTTCATCCTGTCTGGCTCCTGAGTTAATCGAAGTGATGATCCAGGTGGGGAATTCCTTACACAGGCAATTTTGAAGGATCCATATGGGTGGAGGGCAACATTACCTCTAATGGATAATTCACTGGTAGTTAGTCTCCAAAAGAAAGTTTTATCTCTCATGGGCTGTCAGCATCCATGTTGAATTCCCTATGACTTTGTAAATAGTTGAATGCTTTGATCCTATTGGAAATATCAATCCCTTGTTTTCCATTCGAACTGCTCCCAGCTTCAGTACAAGAAGGGACAGGATGAGGTAAAGGGCAGTTGCTGAGGGATTACTCAGTATTTGAAGCTTGCACTTATGGCAGGGATGTGATGGCCGGGGATGACAGGAGTAAGCAGACATTGGAATGATAAGCTTCTGAATCAAGGCTCTGTTCTCAATAACACAAATTAAAATTTGTAATTATTTTATTTGTCTTCTTTTTTCTCCCCTCATTCCCTCACCTCCCCCACCCCTATAATTCTAAGCTTTGTGAGGTCAAGGAACTTCTGCATTGTTTACCATTATATGCCCAGTGCCTCCCCCAGTACTTCATACGTGACAGATACCATAAATTATTTGTTGAATAATTACATAAATTGGTCTTGAATACTGAAAATCTAATTTCATCACTTCTACGCTTAAGAATTCTTCAGTGACTCCTTCAAGACATGAGATAAAATAAATCCAGAATCCTTGTTTTAGTATTAAACAAATAAACAAAAAAGCAAGTCATCTGGTTACTCCAGGTTATTTTCCTAACTAGTAGTTCACTGTTTCCCCTGCCCTCTCCCTGCAAGGAGGGGACATTTCAATCATCATAAATGACTTGCAGTTATTCACAAGTGTCATATTCGTTCACCTCTTTCCTCATAACCAGCAATAGTAAGTGCAGGAATCACACATTCCAGAAAGCTTTTCCTAACTCCACCCAGGTCTTGGTTAGGAGCTAAAGTACTTCATGTGATTGGATTGCAAATTTTCTGTTTTATCATCTGTCTCTGCTCAAGACATAAACTCCCTCAGGTTAGAGGGCTGTGATGGTTAATTTTATATCAACTCGGCTAGGCTATGGTGCCCAGTGTTTTGGTAGAACACCAGACTAGATGTTGCTGTGAGGTGTTTTTAGATATGATTAGCATTTAAATCAGTGGACTTTGAGTAAAGCAAATCACCCTTCATAACATGACTGGGCATCATCCAATAGTTGAGACCTTAAGAGCAAAGATAGAGGTTTCCCAAAGAAGAAGGAATTCTCAAGATTTTAACATAGAAACACTACATCGCTTTCCAGAGTGTCCCCCGGAACCTGTGTTCAAGACTACAGCATCAGATCTTGCCTGAATTTCCAGCCTTTGGGCCTGCCCTGCAGATTTCAGCCCTGCCAGCCCCCACTATGTAAGACAAGTCTTTAAACCACCCTCTCCCTCTCTCTCTCTTTCTCTCTGTCTCTCTATCTCTACCTCTATCTCTAGCACTCTCCCTCTCTGTCTCTCTATTATATAAAATATAAATATATATATATATATATTTCTCTATATACATATACACCCCTTGTTGGTTCTGTTTCTCTGGAGAAACTTCACTAACCCAGGAGCTTTCTATTTTAACTCCTGTGTCTAAAATGTAGCACAATAAGTAAATGAAAAATTAAATCTAGCTTGAAATCACCCTCCCTTACTAGAGGAGGACTTTGCAGTGCAGAGATGATCAGCTAATCCTGGTGAGGTCAACTAAACCAGGTCCCGAGCACATCCCTGAGCACCCGCTCCCCGTCCCCTGGTAACTTGCTCATCTGATGCATATTAAGAAATAATAAGGAAAATACACACTTTATGAATCTATTTATTTTGTTGATGATGGGGAACACATTACAAAGATTACAAGCAGCAATGTGAGCCCTGTGGATTGGAGAGCTACTGAGTTGGAGCCCCATCCCCGACCCTGCAAGGAGACAGTAGGATCAGCTGCTCTTCTAGAGCACCTAAAACTTCATGCCTTTCCCTCTGCGTCCCATCCCACCCCTTTTTGTGTTGGTCCAAACAAAACCTCAGCACGTGCTCAGTGGGGTAAGTAAGCACATGATCAAAGCTCCAGGCTAGAATTGACAGCCTCAGCCTATCTTCCTGTTGTTTGCTGGACTCCCGGGTTTATACTGGGAAATGCCAGGTCGTCCCCAATATGCATCACAGAGAGTAGGTACTCATAAATATTTACTGAAAACCTCTGAGGATGAAGTGCACACAAAGGGAGATCTCACGACACGTTGCCCGTCGCCACCTCTGTCCTCCTTGGGCTCTTCTCTCTGGGCATTATCCTCCTCCATCAGGATCTTCTGCTGAATCTCAAAGGAGAAACTGGGATCGATGCCAGCCTGTGCTCAGCAAGAAAAGAGAGATACCATGAGTGGGAAGCTGGAAGCTGAGGTGACCTCTGAAAGCTGAAGGTCAGCAGAGCTAACATCTGGGAAACACAAACTGCTGTCGAAATTGAAAAACAGATATCCTGGGTCATCCTATATTCCCACTGCTGACTATCCTTTAGGAGGACAAAACTTTCACACTATCAACACTAACCACCACCAACCACCACCGACAAAAGCACACTTTTGGATAAAATAATTAGAGATTTTTTTTAAAAATGGATGCTGGCAAACAATCAATGGGCAAATATTTAGGCAAAGAGAAGAATCAGTTTTTCACATAGTTTCTGCTTGGGGTTTACTGTTGCTTATTTTCTATTTTTCATCCCATGCTTATTATTTACCAGCATGTTAGGTACTTTGTCTCTATTATATCATTTAAGTTTTACAAAATCTCATATTATAGAAAAGGAAGCCAATGTCCTTGTTCTTAAGAGCTCCCCACGGAGCTCCTGACTTTTAAGTCAGAACTCCCACATCTCTCATATGTCCAGTTTTCTCTGCAGACTCAGGGCTGCCTCAGGAGATGGTGTGGTCCCACCATCATGTTAGGGTTCCCATTTGTTTGGTACTTACTATGCCAAATATTTCTCATTTGATTTTCACGATGACTCTAAGATATGGCATGAGGAGGGGAATTCAATTTTGGACATGTTGAGTTGGAGGATATCTGTAGATCATCCAAGTGAAGTGCAGGGTAGAGATCATGGCCATGGCTGGAGATGTATATTTGGAGGATGCAGATATATTTTTTTAATATTTTATTAAAATATTAAAGTTCCTGGGAGAAGATGGAGGGGACGAGGTCATCTTACAGTTGGAAGGTTGGCCTTGATGAGGATATATATTCCTCATTTCAAGAGTATGAATAAAGGAAAAGAGAGGGGGATAGATACCTACGTAGGTCAAGAGCTATGTGATGAAAAGAGTTAAGAGTACAGGATATTTACATACTGAGGGCTTCAGTCTTGTCAATGAAGTACAAGGCCAACTATTCCATTGAAAGTCTACCAACTGGAATATTTTTGTAGGAGCTAAATGCTGAAATATAGACTTCCATAAGTTACATTAAAAAGAAGCTTGAAAAACTTTTGTGCTACAAATAATACCAAGAAAGAAAAAAACACAACCCACAGAATGGGAGAAAATATTTACAAATCATATATCTGATAAGGGACTTGTACCTAGAATATAAAAAAAACCTTAAAATTCAAAATGCTCATAGGATCTGAATAGATATCTCTCCAATGAAGATATACACATGACCAATAAGCACATGAAAAGAAGCTGAACATTATTCATTAGGGAAAAGCACTTCAATACCACAATTGGATACCACTTCATACCCACTACACTGGCTATAATGTAAAAGACAGATAATATCACATGTTGGAAAGGATAACATGCTTGTGGGGATGTAAAATGCCACATGGGAAAACAGTCTCTCAGTTCTTCAAAAGATTAAACACAGAGCTGCAATAAGACCCAGCAATTCCACTCATAGGTATATACCCAAAAGAAATGAAAACATGTTCACACATAACTTGAATACAAATGTTCATATCATCATTATTCATAATAGCCAAAAAGTAGAAACAACTCAGATGTCCTTCAACTGGTGAATGGATAAATAAAATGTGTAAAATAAAATGGTATATCTGTATAATGGAATATTATTTGGCCATATAAAGGAATGAAGTACTGACACATGGTCTGACATAGATGGACCTTGAAAACACTATGCTGAGTGAAAGAAGCCAGTCACAAAGGATCACATACTGTATGATTCCATTTATAGGAAATGTCCAGAACAGGCAAGTCTATAGAGACAGAAAATAGATTGGTGGTTGCCTAGAGCTCATTGTGGGGAGTAGTGGAGGAGGGGTAGGGAGCGACTGCTAATGGGCAGGGGGTTTCTTCTGGGGGTTGATGAAAATGTTCTAATATACACTGCGGACAACTTTATGAACGTATTTAAAAAATACAGAATTCTACAATTTAAATGAATGAATTGTATGGTTATGGGAATCATATCTCAGTAAGCTGTTTAAAAAAAAAAAAAAGAAACTTGAGGAAAGGACTATTGACAAAGGCAAGACTGAGGAACACTACTGAAGACCAGATAATAATAACAGCCATTATCTTTGAGGATTCGCACTAGGCTAAGTGATTTCCCTGCATCATTTCCTTTAATTTCACCATGAACCCATATATATTAGGTCCTTTTCCCTCATTTTACAGACAATACAATTAAAGCTCAGAAAACATAAGGAACTTGTTCAAGGTCAACAGCAAGAAAGAGACAAAATGTAGCCCCCGGTCTGGGTCAGTCTGGAGCCTGTTTCTTAGTACCTGCACTATGCTGTCTCCCACAGGTTTTGTTTTTCTATTTAGCTTCAACTTTCTAGGTTCAGCACAAATGCCAGTGTCTTTAGGCCAACCTCTTTCTCCCCAGCACGCCCACAATTCTCTGTCTACCAGACTTAGAGTGGTAGACAGCCTTTTCATCTCTGAGTTAATAAAGAGATGTAGAATAAATGCATCAATAAATTAGCACTCTCCTTACCCTCTCCACACTCAGGAGTCCTAGAAGCATGACCATAGCCCCGTACAGAAAGATTTCCCCAGGCTCAGAACACTGACTAAGAGATTAAGTAGCCAGGAGCTCAACTCAGAGATAATGCATCTTTCCCTTCTCCTCTTCTTGGAGAGGGTAAGAAGAAAAGAACAAAAGCTAATCTCAACTCTTAGATGGGAGACGACACCCACCCCTACCCCTAAGCTGGTTCTGTCAGGTTTTGAGATCTTGATGCTACCTGCCAACTTTCCTCACCTATTAACTACAAATAGACCTAAATTAGCCCCTGGCATGTAGTAGGGATTCAAGAAATTTTATCTCCCTTTTCCATTCATTTCACAGTCCCCCACCCTGTCCCCCACATGGCACTTACTGTTTACGTGGAACCTCTAGTCTGGAATGGGGTGACTATAAAAGAAGGGACAAAATACAAAGCTGGCTCACTAAGCCGGTCTGGGCTCGGTGATCATAGCAGAATCCTGGGGACCATTTAAGCTGAGGCACTGAGTGGCTCCTGAGGAGACTATGATATCTGTTTACATATACCCTAACACTACGTTTATTTTCATAATGTGAGAAGCAGCAGAAGAAAAATAATTCTTTATAGCAAAATATCCCAATGTTTATGTGGGCTTACATTGTGCCAGACATTGTACTGGTATTTTTTTTTAATTGAGGTAACACTGGTTTATAACATTATATCAGTTTCACGTACAGCACTACAGTCTGACTTCTGTATATGCTACAGTGTGCTCACCACTAAAAGTCTAGTTTCCATCATCACCATACAGTTGACCCCCTTCATCCGTTGTGCCCTTCTCTGGTGACCACTACTCTGTTCTCTGTATCTATGTATGTTTGTACTGGAGTCTTTATAGACATCGTTTTGTCCTCACACAACCCATGGTCCTCTTATTGGACAGATGAGGAAATAGAAGGTAGAAGGGCAGGAATAATTTCTCCAAGGTCACTCAGTCAGTAAGGGGAGGGAGCCAGAAACCTCCCAAAGGTCTGTGTGACTCTAATGCCAAGTCTCTCCATCTCTCCCTGACACCTCCTCCCACATCATTTCTGTTACCACCAAGCACCGTTTCATGGAGGCTGTTCTGCTAAAAACAGTACAGAGGAACGCAATTCTAACATGAAAATATGTTTACAAGCAATCATCCTATATCAATGCAAAAATACTAGATTAAACATTTAAAAACAGGACACAATACCACATTAAGATAATGTACCATGAGCAAGTGGGATTCATTTCTGGAATGCAAGGATGATTCAGTATTAGGAAATCTATTAATATGAGCATGACATTAGTAGATGTAAGACTAATAATCACATGACTATTCCCTAGATGAAGAAAAAAGTTCTTGAAAGATGCTTCCTGATTAAAAAGAAAAATTGCTCAAGAAAATAGGAAATGATGCATATTTCTTAAAGCCAAAATTGTGTTTAATGGGGCAATATTAGGGGAATTTCTAATAAGATTAGGAAAAAGTCAGGAATGTCCACTATCTCTGTTACTATTGAACACTGTCCTGGAGTTATTAACCAGCAGAATTTAAAAAGAGAAAACAATAAGGGGTACAGGAATTTAGTTAAAAGAAGTAAAATTATTTTCAGGTGATTTGGTAGTTTACCTAGAGAACCTGAGAAAATCAATGATAAACTAACACAAACGATAAAATGAATGTAGTCTTTCTAAATGCTAAAGATAATGTTACTTTTAAGATAATTTCAAACAATTTCAGAAATAATTTCAGAATAACTTCAGAAAAGCTGCAAGGATAACACAAAAACATTCTTTCTGAAACCATTTGGGGGTACGTTTGGAAGGTGGTGCCCATCACTCCTGAATAGTTTAGGACATTCTCCAGATAACCACAACATAAGGATTAAAATAAGGAAATTATCACTGACGAACACTGAATTCACAAACTCCATTCAAGTTTAATCATTTGTCCCAATAATATTCTTTATAGGCTCTAACATAGGACCATGCGTTGCATTTAATCGTCATGTCTCTTTATCTTTTTCCAGTCTGGAAGAGTGCAGCATGGGTGGCCTCTCATAGGCTAATTTATCCTTACTCGCATCCCCTCTGCACCAAGGGTGCTGGAAAAGGCAGAGAGTGACCGCAACCAAATGCTATCTTGTCAGACATATAGAATGATTAACTGCCTGAGTGGGTAAGGAGGTGCCTGGAAGGTATGTTATGCTTTTATCTTCTTTTATTTTTTACCATAAAAGTTTTAAAGCAGACTGTAAAAGTAGAAGTATATATAACCATTCACTCTTTGCTAGATTCTTCTGAGTTAGGATGTTCACAAGAAAAAACTGTCTTGTTTCCAAATGGTCTCAGACACTCTCTCCTAAATTAGATTTAACAGTATATCTCTTAGATCAGCATATTCTCAGGTCTCTTTTGATCTTCAAATAAATCTCAGTTAGGGAGCTTTTTCCTAGATTCAATTTTAAACAGGCACACAGAGAGCACAAATATCCTCATTGTTTTAGATATGAGTCCTAAGTAGGTTTAAAAAGTCTAATCTGACTGCCTGAACGTTCTGTTAGGAATTCTTAGAAATCTGTCAGATTATCACTAATTCCATGGGGCGGTAATTTGAATTTTTTGTTAGATTACTTCTCTTTGTTTTTATTTTATTTTACATATTTTTAAATTAATTTATTTATTTAATTTATTTATTTTTGGCTGCATTGGGTCTTCATTGCTGCACACGGGCTAGTTGTGGCAAGCGGGGGCTACTCTTCGTTGCAGTGCACGGGCTTCTCATTGCAGTGGCTTCTCTTGTTGCGGAGCACGGGCTCTAGGCACATGGGCTTCAGTAGTTGTGGCTCTCGGGTTCTAGAGTGCAGGCTCAGTAGTTGTGGTGCACGGGCTTAGCTGCTCCGCGGCATGTGGGATCTACCCGGATCAGGGCTCGAACCCGTGTCCCCTCCATCGGCAGGCGGATTCTTAACCACTGCGCCACCAGGGAAGTTCCTTGAATTTCTTTATACGTAGAGCCTACAACTACTTTTGCCTAATTATATTTTATGATAATCAAATCATTAGCTTTCATCCATATTGACAGTCGACTGTCTGAAGGTGTTTGAAAGCATAACAGGTATGAAGGTAAAAGTTATACTATGCTTGTTTGTTGAATCTTTGTCCTCATTATGTTTCCTGGATAACTTACTTAGATATATTATTGGATAGTCCTTATTCTTTCAGTTCAGATAGCTTTCTTTTCCAGACGCGCAGGCTCAGCGGCCATGGCTCACGGGCCCAGCCGCTCCGCGGCATGTGGGATCTTCCCGGACCGGGGCAGGAACCCGCGTCCCCTGCATCGGCAGGCGGACTCTCAACGACTGCGCCACCAGGGAAGCCCTAGATAGCTTTCTTGAGCTAGTGTAAATAATGACATTGAGAGTTCCCAAGAAGGTTTTTTTGTTTGGTTTGATTTGTTTGTTTATAAACAGCAGATTCTAGATTTCCTTGAGTGCCTGGGGTCCATGCTTCATTAAGTCGACTCAATGGAAGTGTTTATGGATGTTGATATTCTATTTTCTAGTCATCTCCTTGGTGGCAGAATTACCCCCCCCTTTTTTTGCTACCCCTCTTTGTGGGAGCCATTTTTCGCAGAATAGGTTGGAAAGAGAGAAGGGGGTTGTGGGAGGGGTCAGTTACTCTTCGGGGCTGCCTGGAGGCAAGGTGACACCTGGGAGTTTTTTTAAAAACTACAGATTCCTTAACCCTACACCAGAATTTCTAATCAGAATCTATGGAGGTGGATCCACTAATATGTATTTTTAAGAAGTTTCCCAAGAGATTTTTCCTTGACTAACATTGAGAAGTTGTGTTCTACACATTGGTTTAGCAGAATGATCCCTATAAAGACCTAAGAGTTGGGGAAATGATGCTCTATATCTCCTTCTTAGCCAGCCATAACTTGTATTGGCATATACATTTAAGAAAAGCCTATTTAATCTTAACTCAGCATTTCTCCAATTTATTTGAGTATAGAACATACTTTTTTTTTCTTGATGCAACATATATTACTATAGCACACCCAAAAGCACAGACTTTGTGAAATATTGGTCTAGAGAATATGACTCACCCTGTCACCCCCTCTTAACTGTTAACAGTCAGCAACTCTTTGATGCTTGGCAACTCAGTAATAAATGTAACCACAGCTATTCATTAGGACTATTACACAAGGTTTCATAAAGCCTTCATGCCCAGTGTTATTCTCTGGCTCTTCCTCTGCTTAATCCTGAACTTTAGATGAAAAAAAAAAACAAAAAACTGAGAAGAGTTATGGTAATTAACATACATTGATTGCTATGTGCCAGGCTCTGTTCTAAGCTCTTTGCAGGCATTATACCAGGTAATCCACAGTCCTGTGAGTAGTTTGCATTATTATAACAATGTTTCAATAAGATGCTGGGGAGGGGCTTCCCTGGTGACATAGTGGTTAAGAATCCGCCTGCCAATGCAGGGAACATGGGTTCGATCCCTGGTCCGGGAAGATCTCACATGCCGTGGAGCAACTAAGCCCATGAGCCACAACTACTGAGCCTGCGCTCTAGAGCCCGCGAGCCACAACTACTGAGCCCACGAGCTACAACTACTGAAGCCCATGCACCTAGAGCCCGTGCTCCGCAACAAGAGAAGCCACCGCAATGAGAAGCCCGCGCACTGCAACGAAGAGTAGCCCCCGCTTGCCGCAACTAGAGAAAGCCTGCATGCAGCAACGAAGACCCAACACAGCCAAAAATAAAATTAATTAATTAATTTTAAAAAAAGATCCTGAGGAACAGAGAGATTAAGTAGCCAAACCTAAGAAAATACACAGTTAGAAAGTGGTGAAGCAGGTATTACAGACATTAAATCCGACTCAGATTTAAAGCCTATCACATTAACCACTCATTATTTTGCTTGAGCTTTACTCATCCATCTTCCTCTACATGCTCCTCCCTGAAAGTCTCATTCAGCCAAAGTTTGACCTTGGCCATGGCTTCCTAAGCATGGCTTCCTTGCTCTCTCTTTTGAACCACAGACCCACCTTCTTAACTGCTTGTTAGATATCTCAGGGAGGAGCTACAGCTGGAACCTTAAGCTCAACATATTTCTAATAGAATCTCATCTTTCGTCTCCAAACTTACCTCTTCTTTTGTGTCCCCTCTTTCCAGTCATTCATGTATGTCTTCATGTGACACATGTGAGCCCCTACTATGTGTTTGTACTGTACTCTGTTGAGGATACACAGAAAAGTGAATAAGACTTGGGTTTTTACTCCTAGTGTCTACTGCTCCATAATGTCAGTGAATGCATGCTCTATCATGTCCTCCTCCTCTTTCTCTGTTATGTCCTTCCAGATGAATCTCCAGCAGCTATTTTAGTCTCTAAATTATTTGTAAATTATATTCACTTGAAAGGGAATTTGATTATCCTGGATTATTTTCCTACAGCAGGTCACTGGCACATCCACAGGTCCTATGGCAGATGGTATTCTAACGAGGGCAGCAGCATCCCACATGCTCTTCTTACAAGGTGATGTCCATAGTCCTTCAGCATGAGGTGGGGTCTACATTTCCTCCCCTTGGATCTGTGTGGGCCTATAGCTGCAGTGGAAGTAATACTAAGTGATACTTTCCAAGGCTGAGTCCTAACAGGCAAAACAGCTTTGGCCTGGCCCTTTAGGGATGCTTGTGCTTGGAACCCAGGCCCCAAGCCGGAAAGACTACATAGAAGGTGTTTCAGGTGACAGTCTCCACCGAGGACCCAGCTGACAGCTAGCACCAACTTCTAGACTAGGGGGTAAGCAAACTTTCAGATGCTTCCCGTTCCTGGCCTTCAATACACTCTAGCTGGTGCTGAGTATAGCAGAGACAAGATGTCCCCTCTGAGACTTACCTAAATTGCAGATTTGTGAACACCATAAATATTGTCATTGTTTTAAGCCACTGCATTTTGGGGTGGCTTGTTAGGTAGCAATAGATCACCAGAACAGGTTGCCTACCTTTGTTTCAGTCAGCTATTGCCAGGGACCGGGTCCCCTGGCAGGAAGCTCACTGCCTGGAGGGAGTTGTTGCCAGAGAGGCAGGCATCATGATTAAATGTCAGTTATGTTCCATGTTTTTTAAATGTTTAATGCTCTCTAGCACATAACAAAGTGTTTTACATGGAGTATATGTCAAATAAATATTTACTGAATTGAATTCAAATATAGTGTGATAGTAAGAACATGCATTTTACTGTCAGATATACTAAATTTCAAACCACAACTCTAGATGCTACAGCTCTGGGGTAGGGAGTAAATTGCCTTCCCAATCCTCAGTTTCCCTTCTTCTGAAACTGATATGACTATTAAAATACTTAAGGCATGTAAAGTGCCTAAGAGTTTGTGGTTCACGGTAGATCTCTCTCCCAATCCGTCCCTCACTCTCCAATTTTTAAATAGGAGACATAAGGATAAAATGAGAAAAATTGAAACATGATTATGAAGGACACTGAATGCATGGTTAAGGTCTATTTTTTAGGCAATGGGGATTATAGAGATGTGATATACATAAGATAATTTTTGAGAAGATTAATATGCCTCTAATGTGTAGAATGAGAAACCAGATAGAGAAAAATCACTTAGGAAGCTAAAGTCAGTGTCTAAGCATGTTAGGGTCTAAATAGTATCTTAAAAATGTAGTCAGGGTGATATCAGGTCTGGATTAAATGGCAGGATGATATTACAAAGGAAGTTTCCATAGACTGAGTTGGAGTCTACAGAGGAGAAGCATAAAGGACAAGAGAATCCAAAACTGACAACAATATTGTGACAGCATCTATTAAAAATTATTCACATGGGATACCCTAAGATCCAGCAATGTCACACCTAAAAATCTATCTTATAAAGAAGTGATAGCAAAAGTACTTAAAATTATATGTGCCAAGATATTTACTGCAGCCTTGTTTGTGATAGCACAACGTTAAAAAACCGAAATCACCATCAGTTAGGTAATGGTTAAGTAAACTATGGTATGTCTATGCAATGGAATCATGTGAGTAAATCTAAATAAACTGACCTGAATACATTTCAAGTGAAAAGAGAAAGTTATAAACCAATATGCATAATGTCATCTTTTGTTAAAAGCAGAAGAAATGCCTAAGTGTCAGAAAAGAAAGACTGAATTAAAGGCTATTTGGGAAGAACTTATGTGATTTTTTCAGAGTTGCTGATCATCTACGTTATTACATTTTAGTAATAAAATGCATGTCATAAATAATAAATATGAAAACTGTAAAAAAAAAGAAAAGAAACACTGAAATTCATGCTGTTTTCCTCTGGGGACTGGGAATGTAGGGGTGTGGGGTGGCATGGTCTTAAAAATATTTGAATAATTTGTATAATTTTCTGTTTTGGTATTCTTCATTTTTTTTCTTTAATAAAAACTTAAAAACATTTTAAGTTTGCAAATTCCATACTAATACAAGCAAACAGTATCGTTAACAGAAACAGTTGAAGATTCGGGGAAAGATGATGATTCCACATAGGTTAATGTGTAGTTGGTAGAAAGAGCTGAATTGTGATGGGAGTTGTGGTAGCTATTGGCAGTGGTTGAAGGTGTACGTGAGCAAGACTTCTGGGTCCTTCTCTGGCAAGGAACAGACAAGAGATGTGGTCCACCTGGGCAGAGCTCACAGCTAAGACTGCAGTCAAAGGCAAGTCTCCTGAGCCAACATCATGGAAAACAGCACCACAGATCTTCTCTATTTCGGTCCATCCCAGAATTGGAGGGAATAACTCTCCCTGACACAGCCTGTTCATGCTATCTATGAGATGCCCTAATAATTAACTCTGGGCCTTCCAACCTAATATGAATGTTGGTAGGTAATGCAACATCTTACTGGTGAATTAGTCTTTATGAATTTATCTATCCCCAACTTGAACTTAATTATGTTTTTAACCTGGGGTATATCTATACCTACATACATGTCTATATTTGTATCTATATTTACATCATCTATATTATCTATATATCTGGCTAGATGGATAGATATAGATAGATATCCCTATCTGATATTCTCATATCTCATATGAAATAATCAGCATTTATTCAAATTTATATTTGAACACTACTAGGTATTGGGTCATATTAAATACAGGATAAACATATTATAAAAATGGAACATTACATCGGGCATTACAGTGGTATGTTATAGAGCCAGGGTTTTATTACAGGAGTACTGATTGCTTCTCCAGATGGATTTAAATTGACGGCTCTAAGAAAATTTTTGCCAAAGATCCCCTTCTAGCTTATCGACCCCAGAAATGTGCTTACCACTATTCCTGGGAATATCCCATTTTCCTTCACGGCTTCAAAATGCTTTGGCAAAAAAAAAAAAAACCCAAAACAAACACGTATATTTTATTAAGTGAATATTATCTGACTTTTTTTTTAGCCCAATAATGACTATTTTTTTAGTACATGAAATCCTCTTTTAAAATCTGTTTAATATACCTTCCATTGGGTCATTATTAAATAATACATTAAAAATTTTTTAAATGCATATGCAAAATGATTTGGAGACGTCCCTACAAGATTTGTGATTCTACTGTCTACCGTTTCCTTTTATTTATCCTATCTGAACAGGCATAGAGATTAAAAAAACCATGTCATGATGACTTTCTTTTCTGTTTTTCTTTACAAAGCTAGAAAAAAGGCATAGAAGTATAATTAGTTGCCCAAGATCCTATAGCCCTTCATGTAGACAATGATAATCTTATACTCTGGGATGTGTTGCCTCTTTTTGCTATTTTCCTTATTCGTGATGTTTAGAAACAAAAGACTTATATATGCCCCCAAAGTTATATATATATATATATTTATTTATTTATTTTTCATCACTGCTATGAATCCATATGCTGTTTCATAAATGCATCTCAAGTAAAGAATTTTTGATTGCTTTAACTATGTCATTCTCTTTTTTTCCAAGCAGAAATACCAGCGCTGGATTTCCTGCTTGTCCTCATGCCGTATATGCTGCCAAGCTACTCCAAAGTGAAAATGGCAATTTCCTTTACAAATTACTTTGTGCTCCTGCTATTAATCTAATAGAGATACGGAAGTGGGCGAAAGAAAAGAAGCTGCTCTTCTGGCAATAAGGAACAATCCTGAGATCAAATTACACATTTGTGTAATTGGAGGCCTACTCCAAATTACACATTTCTTCATATGGTTTGGCTAAACAGTTGAAGTTGAGAGTAGACCCTGACTCTATCTCTTAGGAATTAGAATCATTTATAATCCCTGTTTCTTTTGACTAGTTCTGCCAGTTGATGATAAGATGTAAGACAAAATGAGATAAAAATAAAACAGAATTTTTAAAAAACTATTGTGAGTTTAAGATCTAGTAAAATACTGTTGGTGGTCTTCTAGAATCTAGTTAAATAAAAAAAAATAAATAAAATTCTTAGAAATATAAGATATCAACATTTTTTTAAACAAAAGAACAATGGAAGATCCAGGAAGATAAGAGAGGACAGGAGTAAGTTTGATGCCTTCACGCAGGGAGGTGAAATCATTCATCCCCTAGTTTGAGTTGTTTTCCAGTGGTGATGATGGATTCGAACAATCCGTCCAAACCTTTTCACCCAGTTCCTCTCTTTACCAATTGCAGGCCTCTGCGATGGGGCAATGTGGATGAGATGTGAGAAGATAAATGACTCTCCAGAGGTTTCTGTGAACTTTATCCCTAGTATCTTGGCTCTAATGCTGATGATAGAAGAGAAATGTCTTAAATTCTGGGTAAACAGTCACTTAACTACTCAGAACATTTGGAAATTAGAAAAAAAAGAAGGAATATTTTTCTCTGTTCATTTTGATTTCATAAGTAACTGAGTTTCCTTTTCTCTGTCTAAGAGAAAAGATCCAGGAGATGCTGACTAGATTGTAAGCACCAGAAGATCACTATGATACACTCACTTTTATATTCTACTGTGTTTGGCACTTGTCAGGGTCTCAATAAACATTTGTTAAATTGAATTAATTGAGTAAAAGAGGAGGTATAATCTTTTAGAAACAAAAACAATTTAAAAATCTTGATAAGAAGTTTAAGTACATCATTCAATCTGTGTTCATAGATCAACTGAAAAGGGGGAATTAGAGAGGGGAAGTCAAAAGATAATCTACTGACTGATATATAATTTGGGGGTATCCACTTCTCCTGTCACTTGTGGGAAATATCACCAGCATCTAAATCAATCCGTGCACGTAAGGATAATGGGGATGGGAGCACAGCAGCTTCCCTTAGCTCCTGTTTACAAGTCCATCAGTTGCTGTTGCTGTAACCTTTGTGGTCTCTCTCCCCTATTTGACTCACTTTGTCCCAGAGAAGAAGCATGTCTCATTAGTGCCTTTAAGAAATAAACTGGCGCTGCGTAGTTGGGAGCGAGCTGACCTCAGGAAGTACACATTTTGGTCTGCTCCTTCTGCCCCTAAGTTGTGCAGAGGCAAGTCCTCTAGTGGAAGCTGTGCTGTGGCTGGTGGGTAAGTCTTTTAGGAAGCCCGCTGTTGTCATGCGCCTAAGCCATGCATTTCTTTATTATCTTTATCAGTAATGAGGATGACATTTTAATCTCCTTCTGCCAGACTTCCATGTCTATCTTTTCATTATTTTCAAACTTGATTGGGAAAAGAATGTTACTTTTTGGTCCCTTATAAGGTACTTATACTGGCTCCAGCAACTCTACAAATCTATAGTTTGCATCTGGTTATCTGAGGTGTATTCATTTATTCATTCAGCCATTCATTTGGAAATAGTTATGGAGCCCCTAAAATATACCGAGTACATATATGGTAAGCCCTGGGACCCTACCCATAAGGAGCTCACATTATAGAGTATTTATAAACAATTTGACAAATGGGTAAGCACGTAGCTTCCCAAGAAATAATAGAGTCTAAGCTGAGTTGCTCATTTTTTTGGTGTTTTCTTAACTGAGTCATAACCCAGTAGGATTTGGTCAGGCGGTAGCTGATTTACCTGATCAAATCTGGTCTACCTGGTCAGACCTAAGGGTGAAGGGGCAGGCAGGGGCTCAGTTCTGAAAGACCCTCCCTAAAAACCTAGACTCTGCCCAGTGGGTAACAGGCAACTGTGAAAGAGATTAGAGGAGTGATATGGTCAGGTTTCCATCCATAAGGTCACTTTGACAGCTGGGAACATCTGTCTGAGGAGGACAAGCCTGGAGAGACCAATTTGCAGACTGTTCTAGGCGAGAGACTCTAAGAATGTGATTTAGCAGCACTTTTGCTTACTTTTGTTTTACCTTTCCTTTTTTTGTTTTTGGCAATCTTGACATTTTGTAGGATTAGCAGTAAGAGCTCTGATGATGAAGAAAAAGAAGATCATTGCTAATGTTAAGTTCTTGCTATGAACTGCCACTGGGCTAAAATGTTTCTGTGCCTTAGCTCACTTTGTAGTCACTAAAAATGCATAAGGTAGATAGTATTCTTTTGCATTTTATGTATGAGAAAACTAAGGCTTCAGGGGTAAAATAACTTGCCCCAGGGTGTACAGCCAGCCAGCAGCAGACCTGGGACTATCTGACAGTTTCCAGCCTGTCTGACTTCAGCTTCCATTCTGATGACCCTGTGCTCTATGAAAAGTTTCATAGCACTTAACCAAGCACTTTCTTATACAGCGTCTCACTAGAGCTCTAACAGGATCCTTAGGTCAACCTTGAGTTCACTCCAAACAGAGTAGCTCATTCTCATTTAACAGAATCATGCTCAAGAAAATTGTTTGTGATATACTTTGAAATCACAAAATATATTGCTCTTTATTTGTACATTGATTACCGATTTAGTGCCTTTTTGACCAAATTTTAACAGTCAGATGTCTTCACCTTCCCATCTAACAGATATATACAGAATGAATTTTAATGTTAAATTTAAGTAAATAAGAAAATATTCTGTAAAATATCGTAGGTGAAGTGATTTCTGGTTTATCTCTTGCTATGGATTTTTCATTCAACATTCAAAAGGTACTAAGTACTTAGCACGTGTTATGCACTACTCCTTTTAAGAGTATGGAGGATTATAATCAAAAACTCATTCAGATTTGTGCACGCAGAACACAGCTCAGTCCATTGTACAGAGGTCCTCAGTATCTGCTTTCAGAATAAATAAATCCAGTGAAAGAAAGCAAAGGAAGCACACTGTCTGGGCCCAAGCATCAAATTAATTAAACTAAATCATTGTACTACCTTACATTTACTAGTTTTATTCCTTGGAAATCTTCGGATTAGTTTTTTTTCCCCACCCAGGTTGATAAGTTAAAGGTGATTGTGTTGCTTTACATTCACTTCGCATTAGCTTAGATAAATAAGTTAGTTATCTATTTATCCAGGATTGTGAGTGCTTCATCATTTATGTTAGCATTACTTATCCCAAACCTCCCAGTTTTAAACAGACACCTCAAAGGGCCATAATGAACAACTTGTCATCCTTGGTGAATGGACTTGTAATAGTTACAAGGGTGCTTCCAAACCACCCAGCAAGTTCTGGCTGGAATCAGGCCTACAATTAGAAATTGCAGATATGTAACCTGCCTTACTCCCAATGATAGGCTATCTCTCCCAGAGGGTGAGGGTTCTGGTTCCTCTAATCTTCACTCCCTGCCCCCACTCCCACCTCCTCACCACGTGACGTGACCCCACCTCCCTGCTCAGAACTGCCAAAAGACTGTGGATGGCAGAGTTCCTGCATTCCTCCCCTGGCACTGGAGCAAAATTACAGCATTACTGTTGGGCTTTAAGGAGTTCCTCTTTGTTCTACTTTTATCATGCTTTCTTGTGTTCTGACTCTAACAATTTGAGAGAAAATGTAGCGTCCAATTCTTGTTTTAGCTGCCAAGATTCCACAATGCTTAGGCAAAGGGAGGAAAAATGGCACAGGCATTTAAATTTACCCAAACGCCTCAGAAGACTACACTTTCTGGACATGAATAAAGAGGATGTGAGTAAACTTCTTCCTAATGTGCCAGGTTTGTCCCTTTGAATAATTGGATAATTCCAGCAAATACCATGTTGAAAGTTTTACTTGCCTGGCTTAGTTTTGAGGCTTCATTTAAAAGACTATTTAATAAGACAATAAAGTATTAAGTTTTAATGTGGTATTAATATAGTAATACTAAACGTACTAAGGAGAGATGGCAAAGATAAACTTAAAGATAACCCAGATTTCATTCCAGGAAACTCTTTCCTAAATTAAACTTCTTAAAACTACCAAAGAGAAGCTAATTGCTTACATTTCAACCTTCCTTTCCTTTTCCAGCTCTCTTATAGACTAATGATTTAAATGAGTTAAAAATTGAGAACATTCAAGTGAAAAAAATCTTCATTCCACAGTTTACTGTGAATGTATCTGTCTGAGCAGATGTAAATAGACAGCTAGCCTTTGCTAGGTTTATGAAAGCCTGTCAGACTTTGGTCAGTGTGGAGCTAATCCTAGTGAAAGATCTTCATGCAGTTCTAGATGTTGTAGCGATTGGCTACTTTACAAAGAAATGTGGTTTGTGTATCCCTCCCATGGAAAATGCTTATTTATCTAACTTTACTACAAGCATTTCCCACTACACCTGGCTTCATTAAGAGTTCTAGGACCTCCCTGGTGGGATGTCCAGTGGTTAAGACTCCACATTTCCACTGCAGAGGGCACGGGTTAGATCCCTGGTTGGGGAATTAAGATCCTGCATGCTATGCGGTGCAGCCCCCCTCCCCCCGAAAAAAAAAGAAAAAGAAAAGAAAAACGTTCTAAAAGATGAGAATCTCTTGAAACTAACATCTTAATGTCTCCCTACAGATCTCTCCTTTTGATTGTGTAAGAATCTTCGTCTATTATTAAAGTAGAAATGTATTGACAGAGTTAAGACTCTGGGTCCAACATATCAGAGAAAATCTCGGCCTTTTGTATGTTTGTGGAATTGTTCTACGCTGATCTGTGTTTGTGACAATTACCTAGATTATGGAAATCTGTGGGCTTAAGCAAGTCTTTACCTTTTTGGTATTTCTGTTCTCGCACCTATACATTATTGATAATGTTAAAGCTAAAAAGCCTTCTTCTCGGGAGTACACCATGGAACAGCCATTCTTTGAACTCATACATTGAATGTTAAGTTCTTAGTGTGAGCAGATGCGTCTATCAAGATATGCTACAGAAAGGTGAAGTAACTAGAAATAGAAATATAAGGAACAAATTTTCCATAGTTCCAAGAACATCCAGGCAGAATAAATTTATGCATCAATGACTAAAAAAGTTACACTGATCTGTGGCTTTTCCCCCCATATTGTACGTACTCTAAAATGTCCACTAAAGTTCGAATCTTTTAGGATACTCTCAACTCCAAGTCTGTCAAAGTAGTTTAAACCATATAGAAAGTCATTGACTCGGATAAGTGGGCATCAGTTAATGGACTCAGATGCGTTTCATCTCAGCTCTGTTGAACACAGGCCTCACCCTAAGGAC